AAAAATTTCATACTGTCACCAGTCAGTGTCCCTGATCACCGCCATGCCAGTTATATGATGACGCTGTACTGCACTGGTGACAATATGTAAAAAAAAAATAGTGAAACTAATTTTTTTAATTTTTTCATTTTCCGAAAAATTATGACAAAAAAAATACAACTTCAAAAAACTCGCCATGCCTCTTATGAAGTACGTCGGACTGTCTACTTTGCAAAAAGGGGTAATTTGGAGGATATCTGTACTGTTCTGACATTTGGGGGATATCTGTACTGTCCTGACATTTGGGGGATATCTGTACTGTCCTGACATTTGGGGGATATCTGTACTGTCCTGACATTTGGGGGATATCTGTACTGTTCTGACATTTGGGGGATATCCGTACTGTCCTGACATTTGGGGGATATCTGTACTGTTCTGACATTTGGGGGATATCTGTACTGTTCTGACATTTGGGGGATATCTGTACTGTCCTGACATTCTTGGACCTCAAGAAATTAGATTGGCTGTCAGTACTTCAGGATTGATCAATATTCAGATCTATACCATAGTTTGTGAACTCTATAACTTTCCTACAAACTAAATAATACATCCTAATTTGGGTTATTTTCACCAAAGACATGTAGCAGAATACATCTCGGCCTAAATTTATGAAGAACAATTATTTATTTGCAAACTTTTATAACAGAAACAAAGAAAAACTTTTTTTTTTTCAAAATTTTTGGTGTTTTTTTGTTAATTTAGCAAAAAATAAAAACCCCAGCGGTGATTAAATACCACCAAAAGAAAGCTCTAGTTGTGTGAAGAAAATGATAAAATTTTAGTTTGGGTACAGTGTTGTATGACCGCGCAATTGTCATTCAAAGTGTGAGAGCGCTGAAACCTGAAAACTGACCTGGGCAGGAAGGTGTAAAATTTCCCGGTATTGAATTGGTTAAAATGACTTTTTTATATGTAAAAAAATCTGAAGTATATATTTAAAAAAAAATAAATGTATTCCAAAAATGTAGATTTGTATTTTTAAAGACATACGGTACATTTGAAATGTACTTTTAAAAATATTTTTCATATATTTTGTAATAAAGACGCATTTCAGCCAGACGTCATCGCAGCCTAGCCATTCAAATGGCCAAAGAGTGTGTACCCAGAAGAAAGACCGGGTGAAGATGAAAGCGCTGGCAGTGGTGACCATTTCCAGGGTACGTGTGTCATAATGTCATACTGTGCTAGTATGCGCTGCATTTCTAAATGTCTGGTTTGGTCATCAGTACGGAATTCCCCTTCATTTTGGATGGATTGTGCTGTTAAAAACATTAGTCGGCAAGATTGCAGGTACAGTCACAATGGGCAGTTATTCAATCTACAGCCACTCTCAACAGGGGATTTGTCTGTGTATGTTTTCATGGCTTGCCCAGTCATGTCATATGGAGTTCTGGTTTGCTTTGTACAGTTTTGCAGATGAAGAAGTGTTAATCCAGGGCAGGTTATCTGGATTGCTAAAAAGCTTAATTTTACGCATGAACAAACTCGCTATTCCTGAGTGCCAAGAGATCCCAGCCACGCAGCAAATCTTACATAGAGATAAAGACCGTGTTCGGCAGTTCCCCCAACCTTCTACATGGTAAATGGAATCTGGATGTTGTTATATATTATTCTTATCTTGGTGTAGTATACAGAGATATTTATAACATGGTATAAGGTACATTAAAAATGTCCAAACAGAGATTTACCCAAAGAGGCTCTCAACTCATACTCGGTGTAGCTTTATAGCATCAGATTTTTAATGTCCTGGGTCTAACAGAGTCCAACATAAGAGAGTTACCCACTAAATGTTGCATCGACCAATATCTGGCTTTCCTGGTTTGCGTCTTTTGAAATGGCAGCCTCCTAGTCTACTTAGCATTGGGCTCCCTAGGTAGACCCTCCTCTCCTTGACTTTGTGCATCATTGTCACTATTCAACATAACAATGGTAGCAGGGTATTGGACTCAGGTCTTGGATCACATCCCTTATCCAATGGCCCACCACATCCTGAAGCTCCCAAGGATCTACTTCCTTGAATTGGTGGACTCTTTGGCCCCACAGAAGTCCTCCAGAAGACTTTCAGTATTTTGTGCCTGTAAAGATATTGTTCTAATGTAGAAGTCTTCCACTTCACTGCTGTTCTAATTCTATATAGGGTGCTAGCAGAGAATAACCCACTAATTTTTGCATCCACCAAGGTCTGGCTTTCCTGGTTTGCATCTTTTGAAATGGCTACCTCGTAGTCTAATTAGCATTGGGCACCCTAGGTAGACCTCCCTTGCCTTGACATTTTACATCATTGTCATTATTCAACATAACAATGACAGCAAGGTATTGGACTCGGGTCTTGGACCACATCTCTTCCCCAATGGCCCTCCTCATCCTGCAGCTCCTGAGGTTCTGCTTCCTTGAATAGGTGGACTCTATTGCCCCACAGAAGGCCTCTAGAAGAGGTGTACTATTTCATGCCTGTAAAGCCATTGTTCTAAGGTCGAAGTGTTCTACTCCGCCAACTAAGAATTGTTGGATGTTTCTGGTCAACACTGTTCTAATTCTATATAGGGTGCTAGCAAAGCGTAACCCACTAAATTTTGCATCCACCAAGGTCTGGCTTTTCTGGCTTGCGTCTTTTGAAATGGCTACCTCGTAGTCTTTTTAGCATTGGGCACTCTAGGTAGACGTTCCTCTCCTTGACATTTTGCATCATTGTCATTATTCAACATAACAATGACAGCAAGGTATTGGACTCAGGTCTTGGACAAGATTTCTTCCCCAATGGCCCTCCCCATCCTGCAGCTCCTGAGGTTCTGCTTCCTTGAATAGGTGGACTCTATGGCCCCACACAAGGCCTCTATTTCATGCCTGTAAAACCATTGCCCTAAGGTTCTAAGGTTGAGATCTTCCATTCCATCAGAATTGTTGGATGTTTCTGGTCAATGCTATTCTACTTCTATATAGGGTGCTAGCAGAGAGTGACCCAATAAATTGTGCAGCCATCAAGGTCTGGTGTCAATGGTTTGTGTCTTCTAACACAGCCACCTTGTAGTCTATTTAGCATTGGGCACGCTAAGTAGCCCTCCCTCTCCTTGACATTTTGCATAACTGAACTTGGTCCTTCTTTACATGGACCTCACATTAAGATTCTAACTATACCCTGGCCTCCATTCTTTGGCCGCTTACTGATGGTCGTGCACAAGCGTTAGTGGTTACACCTTGCAAACTAATGGGATGGTTTGTTCTCCAGCCACCTGAATGAGCAACCACTTTAGGGGGATGCCCTCCTGCAACCTTAGAGCTCCATGCCTATCGCATTAATGGCAGAGTGATAGTTTGTTGATTGTTTTTTTATCTTACGTGTCTCCCTGTTGGGGATTTTTGTATTTACATTGCAAATATTATATTAAACAAAACTTATAAAATAAAAAAAAACGGCAGCAGAACAAAGAGCACAGCAAACACTCTCTGCTGTCCTGCATGGGGTGGGGCAGAAGCAATTATATGACTTCAATAATGAAGTATATCATAACCAGTATACCACGGCACCCTGGTTGAAAAAGGCTGGTCTACACATTAGTTGACATCACTTTTTAATATTTCTGCTTAGTAACAGAAACATCACAAGAATAATCAAGGTAAACATTTTGCAGTAGTGAGCATACTGTAACACACAAAGAAAGTTCTCTTCATTTACTGACTACACAAGGACATTCATAATTTATACCAGGGGTCTCCAAACCTGGGGAGGACTGACCATTTGGAAACTCGGGCACTGCCCGAGGGCCGGGGGTCAGTAGAGGGCCCCATGAGATGCCCCTGGTACCTTTTTCATTGTTTTTTTGAGTTTGGGCAAGGACACAGAGGCCCATGATCCCCTATTGCCCGGGGTTGTCAGTCCGCCCCTGCTCCAAGCTTTCTAAGCAAATGGCCAGTTTACTGTCAATGAAAAGAGAAAGAGCGCACCAACCTAGCGCATTATACAAAATATTTTTAATATAAAACCAATATTAAACTACTTACAAGCATAGAAGTAAAAAACACTCATCAAACCACACTTCCATGGCCAAATAGGACAGTCTCCAAAGCACAGGGAGACCACCACGGGGTCCCTGAAGGCTGATGCATTTCAAAGGGATATCCTTCTTCCTCAGAGTCCTTCCTTTTGAAACGCGTCAGTCTTCAGGGACCCCTGAGTGGCCCGACCTGTTTGGCCACAGAAGTGTGGCTTGATGAGTGTTTTTTACTTCTATGTTTGTTAGTAATTTTATATTAGTTTTATATTAAATATCTTTTGAATAATGCACTAGGCTGGTGTGCTATCTCTCTTTTCTGTCATTTCCAGTTGTTACAGGACATCCTCATTCCTAGAAGGCAACAATGCTTCAAGTGTCTATCCGTCCTTCAACTAGGTTGTTGTACTTCTGCGCAGGAGACTATTCTTGTTGCCAGTTTACTGTCCTTCAGGGTTTAGAGCGGCCAGACTGTGCCAGTGGGAGTAGAAATAGCCCCGGCATCAGTGGGCATAAACAATGCCTCATCATTGCTTTTAATTAGAGGAAAAAGGCCCCATTGTTGGTATCAGTGGGAAGAATAGCACCATCAATGGTGTCAGTGGGAGGAACGGTGTCCCATCATTGGTATCAAATTGGTGAATTGCCTGGGGGCCCCATGAGTTGTCAGTCTGCCCCTGAGTGTTGTACTCACAAACGACAATAAAGTCAAGGTACGTCATAAAAGAACAGCTGGGCCAACACTGTGCTGAGTACCAGTCCGCAATATGGAGTGTAGACATCCAATAGGCTGACGTGTTTCGAGGACTTGATTTATACTATCAAAAAAAGTGGCCAAAATACAGTAAGCTCTCCTTGTGATGTCATCTCTTCCCCCTTCCCACACCCTTGAGAGTAAATTCCAGTGAAACAAAGTTGTGTTACTGAGTTGATGTCTCATTGTAAGTAAATAATGACTCACATCTGTAGAAGAGAGACTGGACTGTGTTATACATGCAGGGTGTGATTCATGTGGCATGTTCGAGCACAAGGGCGGACTGACAACTCATGGGGCCCCCGGGCAATAGGGGATCATGGGGCCCCTGTGTCCTTGCCCAAACTCAAAAAAGCCTATGAAAAAGGTACCAGGGGCATCTCATGGGGCCCCCTACTGACCCCGGGCCCTCGGGCAGTGCCTGAGTTTCCAAATGGTCAGTCTGCCCCTGTTCAAGCATCACTATCCCTCTGTACAGAAAACCTATTCTAAGGAACTCTAAGTGAAACATCACAGCATCTACACTAATTGCACCATCTAGCTATTCACTAACATGTCTAAAGTTCTGATGTGCAGCAGCCCTTACCGCTCTTCTGAGCAGTGATCCCCTGTAAATCGATTTTCAGAGAGTGTTTGACAGGCAGTTGGGAGGCAATATGTTGTTAACCCCTTGGCGCCGGCACCTCCCGGCCCTTTAAGGGTTTCAGAAGCTGGGAGGTGGGGCGGGGTTTTAGGGTCATGTGACTGCTGTGATTCGCTGTTCTTGTGGTCACGTGATCGGGAAAGGTCCCGATCGAAAGAGGAGATCAGGACCTTTCCGTGAGTACCGGACATGTGTGCTGGGAGCGCTCTCAGCACATATGTTTTTCTTAATTGCACGTAAATGTGTGGCCAATCGGCGTCAAAGCCCAGACGCCGGGAGGCTGCACATTTGTGTGTGGCAGGCGCAAAGAGATTAATAATACACTGCTCTATAATGTCATTTAATTAGGGTTGACATCTGCTTTAATACTCATATTTATTATTTTTTCTCTTTATTAAAAAAAATATTACAGAGGGGAAAAATGATAGGCGATGTTGTTGCTTAAAGTGTCAGTCCACCCACAAATGATAGTTTAAATATGGATTTTTAAATGGACCTGATACCTCAACAGTGAAATCTCCCTGCCATAATTCTTCTCATACCTGTGGGTTTTGGGGTGTCCCACCTACCTTTGTCTTTTCCAGCATTCCTTGTAAATTAAGAAAAAATCAAACCAGGAGATTGTCAACCGCTGATAATATTCACAGCAGATGTCCGGCCCAGGAACATAAGGCCACAAGACATAAAATTAAGTTTAATGCGATTTAAAGTGATATTAAAGGAATTTAAAAAAATAACAAACATGTTATAACTACCTGCTAAGTGTAGTGATTTTGCACCGAGCAGCCCTGATCCTCCTCTTCTTGGCTCCCCCACTGGCGCTCCTGGCGCCGCAGCAAGCAGCCTGCTATGGGGGCACACACTATATTGCCAAAAGTATTGGGCCCACCCACTAAATCATTAAATTCAGGTGTTCCAATCCCCTCCATGGACACAGGTGTATACAATCAGCACCTAGGCATGCAGACTGCTTCTACAAACATTGGTGAAAGAATGGGTCGCTCTCAGGAGCTCAGTGACTCCAAGCGTGGTCCCATGATAGGTGGCCACCTGTGCAATAAGTCCTTCCGTGACATTTCCTGGCTACTAAAATATTCCACGCTCAACTGTTAGTGGGATTATAACAAAGTGGAAGCAACTGGGAACAACAGCAACTCAGCCACCAAGTGGTAGGCCACGTCACATGACAGAGCGGGGTCAGCGCATGCTGAAGCGCACAGTGCGCAGAAGTCGCCAACTGTCTGCAGAGTCAATAGCTAAAGACCTCCAAACTCGGTGTAGCCTTCAGATGAGCCCAACAACAGTGCATAGAGAGCTTCATGGAATGGGTTTCCATGGCCAAGGTGCTGCATCCAAGCCTTACACCACCAAGTGCAATGCAAAGTGGCGGATGCAGTGGTGTAAAGCACGGTGCCACTGGACTCTAGAGCAGTGGAGACGTGTTCTCAGGAGTGACCAATCATGCTTCTCTGTCTAGCAATCTGATGGACGTGTCTGGGTTTGGCAGTTGCCAGGAGAATGGTACTTGCCTGACTGCATTGGACCAAGTGTAAAGTTTGGTAGAGCGGTTCAGGGGTTGGGCTTGGCCCCCTAGTTCCAGTGAAGAGAACTCTTAAGGTGTTAGCATACCAAGACATTTTGGACAATTTCATGCTCCCAACTTTGTGGGAAGAGTTTGGGGATGGCCCCTTCCTGTTCGAACATGACTGCCCACCAGTGCACAAAGCAAGGTCCATAAAGACATGGAGGAGCCAGTTTGGGGTGGAGGAACTTGACTGGCCTGCACAGAGTCCTGACCTCAACCCCATAGAACACCTTCTGGATGAATTAGAGTGGAGACTGCGAGCCAGGCCTTCTCACCCGACATCAGTGCCTGACCTCACAAATGTGCTTCTGGAAGAATGGTCAAACCTTCCCATAGACACCCTCCAAAACCTTGTGGACGGCCTTCCCAGAAGAGTTGAAGCTGTTATAGCTGCAAAGGGCGGGGCCAACTCAATATTGAACCCTACGGACTAAGACTGGGGGGCCATTAAAGGTCATGTGTGTGGAAAGGAAGGCGGCCCAATACTTTTAGCAATATATATATTTATAGATTTTGTATTTCTTTTTTTTTTTAATTGAGTGGTTGATTTTTTTTGTTGTCTGTGACCCCAGTAAGGAGATTTATCCGCACTGTCTGTCTAAACGAGACCGAGGCAGAAATGAAGGGAAAAGGACATGAAGGCCTATATAACAATAGAAACCCAATAAAGGTCCTAACTTTTCCCACTGTATTACTACTACTCTATCCAGAAGAAAAAGAAAAGCATCTTCAGCTGAAATTGAGCTTGACGCAGGGGCGGACTGACCATTTGGAAACTTGGGCATTGCCCGAGGGCCCGGGGTCAGTAGGGGGCCCCATGATATGCCCCTGGTACCTTTTTCATAGGCTTTTTTGAGTTTGGGCAAGGACACAGGGGCCCCATGATCCCCTATTGCCCGGGGGCCTCATGAGTTGTCAGTCTGTCAGGGCTCCCGGTAAGACCAGAGATGTGTGAACTGACACAGGGAAACGCAGGCTCAAGTATTGTGTAACAATATAATTTATTAAAGGTTATACACAAATATAAAGGCACAATATAACAAAACAAAACCTCCAACTGATAACGGAATGTACACAGACAAGAGCAGTCAGGGCTGGTGAGGTGGAGTGGTCAGGCAGGCCGGGTCAGGAACCATCGGGCAGACAAGACACAAAGGAGCAGGCAGAGCATAGTCAAACGGGCCGGTTCAGGAACAATCAGGCAGACAAGGTACCAAAGGAGCAGCTGGAGAGTGGTCAGGAGGTCAGGAATAGCCGAGGTCAGGACAGGCGGAGTTCAGGAACCATCGGGCAAACAGGACACAAAGGAGCAGGCAGAGCGTAGTCAGACGGGCCGGTTCAGGAACAATCAGGCAGACAAGGTACCAAAGGAGCAGGCTGGAGAGTGGTCAGGAGGTCAGGAATAGCCGAGGTCAGGACAGGCGGAGTTCAGGAACCATCGGGCAAACAGGACACAAAGGAGCAGGCAGAGCGTAGTCAGATGGGCCGGTTCAGGAACAATCAGGCAGACAAGGTACCAAAGGAGCAGGCTGGAGAGTGGTCAGGAGGTCAGGAATAGCCGAGGTCAGGACAGGCGGAGTTCGTTCAGAGTCAGGATCAAGCAGTGTCAGGATCAGGCAGGAAGCAGACAGGATGCAGGTACAGGGGCTCATGGGAAACATACACCAAGGCCCTGACTGCAGGTCTGGCCATTCCTTAAATACACCTCCTGCAATCAGCCTCAGGTGATGGCTGATTGCAGGAGTGAGCCTCTGGTTGCTGAGAGCACCCGCTGGCCAGCCCTGGTACTGCAGCCCACACGGCAGATGAGTCCCACCACTAATGGTGAGTCCATTCCTGACACAGTCCGCCCCCTGGCTTGATGTGTCATTCTATCACGTTACAAAACTTTGCTACCTCGTAGATTTAATTGACAGACTCTCATGATTCTGTGTACAGTTTAGGAACTTTGTTCTCCGCTGTCTTATAATTTTCCTTGTCAATCCATCTCCCTGCATGTCCTAATGTCCCAGTATCTTCAGGATCAAAATATACAAACTACAATCGATGAATGCAGTGATGACCAAAGGATACAAAGACTCTGACTTTCAAAGCGCGATGCCTGCATCTACATTTCAAAGCCTTCCATTGCTACTTAAAAAAAAAAAAAGAAAGAAAAAACTTTACATATTTCCATTCCTCTAAATGCGGGATGACGGTGATACGCTCGGTGTTTAAATGGAAAAAAACAAATATTTCAGGATTACAAGCAGAAATGTTTTAACTTTCCTCTTATCTTCCGCTGTGGTAAAGAGGATATGAATAATGCAGGAGCTGAAAGGTAAACTGGATGACCTTGACTGCTGATGGGAAGGAAATGGAATATATTTTGGGCCATTGCAAACAACTAAATACATGTGAATTGAGCGTGGGATGATCTGTGATTTTCAAGAACTCCTGTTTTATATTGTTTTCAGATAGATATAGTCAGCTTTGTTTCCTCTCCATGCTGAGGTAGGTAGCTGATACCTTCAGTATTCAACCTTACAAACCATGAAGCAAAATGACAAAGTGCTGCATGAGTGATCTATTGATAATTTCCTCTGTTAAAAGATTTGTTACATTTTATTAATTATTTCTTTTAACCCTGCCAGAGCTGTTTTTGTATTTTTTACACACAATTAAAAAATCCTTTTAGGCCTGCAGATTACAAAAAAAAACCCCAAACATATATTTTCCTGAAAGCAGACACCCAGGAGAATAAAATAGTGGTAGTTCCAATTTTTTATGTCACACAATATTACTGCCAAGTTCTAGGAAACACAACATTTCAGTAAAAAACACACTGAATTGAATTTTAGGGCAATAAATGACCCACATTTTTGGTAAAATAAAAGATGAGGAGGCCCCGAGTAAATAGATACCCAACATGCCAAACCTTAAATCTGTGTGACTGCGAAATGGCGACCAACTTCAGTACCCTATATTTTCAATAGGCGATGCTTCAAAAGCCCCTACCAGGGGCGGACTGACCATTTGGAAACTCGGGCACTGCCCGAGGGCCCGGGGTCAGTAGGGGGCCCAATGAGATGCCCCTGGTACCTTTTTCATAGGCTTTTTTGACAGGGGCAGACTGACAACTCATGGGGCCCCTGGGCAATAGGGGATCATGGGGCCCCTGTGTCCTTGCCCAAACTCAAAAAAGCCTATGAAAAAGGTACCAGGGGCCCCCTACTGACCCCGGGCCCTCGGGCAGTGCCCGAGTTTCCAAATGGTCTGTCCACCCCTGGTTACTAAACCCACAACAGTACAATCAGTCTGTATATGCAGTAAAGAACGCTGGTTATACTCACTGCAGAGCCTAAGGGGTTAATCCTCCGCATTGTGTAAGGAGGCTGTTTGATCTTGTCTTCTCTGATCCTCCCCTTCTTCTACTGTACCCAATCTATTCGCTGATAGTACAGAGCTCTAGGAGTCACTCGGCACATGCTCAGTTTAGTGTGTACTACTAGAGATGTTTTTTTTATTTCCTTTGGGAGGGTGCATGTGATAAGCACAGGGCCAATCAGCACTGTCCAAACAGAGGGTCAGGGGTTATGCAGCCTCATAGACAATCAGGGAAGAATGAAAATTGCTCTTAAAGCTTTGACCAGTGCTCTGCTGAACACTGATAGAAGCAGTGGCATCCCGAGGCAGGTGCGGGGGGGTGCGTGCTGCACCAGGTGACACCTACCGCACGGGGTGACACCGAACTCGCTCCACGAAAAGGTAAGTTGTAAAGCAAGCCAACGGTCCCCGCAGGATGAATCCAATGAAATCCACTATTGGGTGAAACGCATCAACATCATTTGAGGTGCTCCACCCCTCCTACTACATGAATTAGGATTATTTATTCTCATTGCGGTGCCCATACCTACTGTTGTTCCCTTTCTGTATCTGCAATATAATTTATTCACGGCACGTGCCTGCAAATTTTATAGGGAAAAAAATTCTACTTATAATTTATTGTTTAACTCAGTGTTTCTCAACCTTTTTTTTCAGTCAAGGCACCCTTTAAAATTACGGTCAGTCCCAAGGCACCCTTTAAAATTATAGACAGTCTTGAGGCCCCCCCAATTCTAAAATGGGGTGCCTCAAGATTGTCCATAATTTTAAAAGAACACCCCATTCAAAAATGTGAAAAACTATTCTACTAGTTTTATATAACGCAGCAACATCCACACACGTAGGACACCCAATATTAGAAGTGATTTATTCTTCCAAATCATATACACTTCTGCACCCTGGTACTGACTAGTATCCCAATGTTTCTCTTTCTCCATCACTGAGCTGATGTGACCCCAGCACTGATGGAGAGGGGCAGGAGAGGATCAAACTAGGATGCTGTGCAGGCAGCTGACATCCTCCTTATCAACTGATGATGTCATTGGTTGTCAGGACGCTGGCGGCTAGAAGGTCGTAATGGTCCACAATGAGAACCTGTGGCTTTGTGTAACTAAAAGAAAGGCTTGTTCCACCCGCTGGCTTGTATTTAAGTTTTGGACAATTTTTAGACATTTTGCCAAGGCACCCCTGAAGAAACCTCAAGGCACCCCAGGGCACCTGGGCCCCCTGGTTGAGAAAGGCTGATCTAACCTCTATCTCTGGATCCCTCTATGAAGTTTTTTTTTTCAATTTATATTTCTCTATATGTGGATTTTACCCTAGAATTCTCATTTTCATATGTTGTCTTGTATGTTTTACAGCTTGTGTAATATGTGGGTACAAGTGAGTACAGCCCAGGGGCGGACTGACCATTTGTAAACTCGGGCACCGCCCGAGGGCCCAGGGTCAGTAGGGGGCCCCATGAGATGCCCCTGGTACCTTTTTCATAGGTTTTTTTTTTAGTTTGGGCAAGGACACAGGGGCCCCATAATCCCCTATTGCCCAGGGGCCCCATGAGATGTCAGTCCGCCCCTGTACAGCCATAGGAATGTGCAATGTCACTCCATTTTTCCAGCTACACCAGCAGCCACATTTACAGTATGTGTCTGTCGAAAAAAGCAACCAATCTGGCCGGGTCAAAGGCCTTTTCTCACATAACAGCTTTTATACACTTCCCTTGATGTGCCCTCTACAAAGTCTTTGCTCATGAAAGTGAAATGAACACTTTACAGCAGAAGATGAGGCCATGCAGTCAATCGTTGTAATCAATTAGAAGTGACATCACCTCGCTGGTGATAGAAAAGGGTCATATGCCAGCCATAAGTGGGAAGAGCACGCTGAGTTAGGCTTGTTTTTCCCAGCTGGAGACCCATGTAATCAGGAGTACATGCAGGGGGCAGAAATGGCTCAGAAACAGATCGTAACTCTTTTCCACTGTGATGGTGACAGAATGTCCTGTCTGAGATCTTCCATACTTCTCCACCAGCCACCACAAATCCATAATCTACCCACATCTTGTACGGTGACCTTAGGGTCCTGGTTGTAGTCACTGCCAGGGACATCTCACAAGCTTTGTATCCTCTTCATGAATTTGTTAGGGTTTCATTAGGCTGTCCACTTAACTTTTGACAAACCAAAAACGTATTGGTAGATAAATCAGCTTCCAAGCAAAATTGGTCGAAGTGGGCTGCAAGCTCCTATAGCAGTGGTTCTCAACCTTTCTAGCGCCGCGACCCCTTAATACAGTTCCTCATGTTGTGGTGACCCCCAACCATAAAATTATTTTCGTTGCTACTTCATAACTGTAATTTTGCAGTAGGAGGAATAGTGCCACGTCATTGGTGTCATTGGGAGGAATAGTGCCCCATCATTGGTATCAGTGGGAAGAATAGTGCCCCGTCATTGGTGTCAGTGGGAAGAATAGTGCCCCGTCATTGGTGTCAGTGGGAGGAATAGTGCCCCCTTCATTGGTGTCAGTGGGAGGAATAGTGCCCTGTCATTGGTGTCAGTGGGAGGAATAGTGCCCCGTCATTGGTGTCAGTGGGAGGAATAGTGCCCCGTCATTGGTATCAGTGGGAGGAATAGTGCCCATCATTGGTATCAGTGGGAGGAATAGTGCCCCGTCATTGGTGTCAGTGGGAAGAATAGTGCCCCGTCATTGGTGTCAGTGGGAGGAATAGTGCCCCCTTCATTGGTGTCATGGGAGGAATAGTGCCCTGTCAGTGGTGAGTGGGAGGAATAGTGCCCCGTCATTGGTGTCAGTGGGAGGAATAGTGCCCCATCATTGGTATCAGTGGGAGGAATAGTGCCTCATCATTGGTATCAGTGGGAGGAATAGTGCCCCATCATTGGTGTCAGTGGGGGGGAATAGTGCCCCATCATTGGTATCAGTGGGAGGAATAGTGTCCCATCATTGGTATCAGTGGGAGGAATAGTGCCCGATCATTGGTGTCAGTGGGAGGAATAGTGCCCCATCATTGGTATCAGTGGGGGGGAATAGTGTCCCGTCATTGGTGTCAGTGGGAGGAATAGTGCCCCGTCATTGGTGTCAGTGGGAGGAATAGTGCCCCATCATTGGTGTCAGTGGGAGGAATAGTGCCCGATCATTGGTGTCAGTGGGAGGAATAGTGCCCGATCATTGGTGTCAGTGGGAGGAATAGTGCCCCGTCATTGGTATCAGTGGGGGGGAATAGTGTCCCGTCATCGGTGTCAGTGTGAGGAATAGTGCCCCGTCATCGGTGTCAGTGGGAGGAATAGTGCCCCATCATCGGTGTCAGTGGGAGGAATAGTGCCCCATCATCGGTGTCAGTGGGAGGAATAGTGCCTCATCATTGGTATCAGTGGGAGGAATAGTGTCCCATCATTGTGTCAGTGGGGGGAATAGTGCCCCATCATAGGTGTCAGTGGGAGGAGGAATAGTGCCCCATCATCGGTGTCAGT